AGATAGATAGATAGATAGATAGATAGATAATAGATAGATAGATAGATAGATAGATAGATAGATAGATGATAGATAGATAGATAGATAGATAGATAGATAGATAGATAGATAGATAGATAGATAGATAGATAGATAGGTTGGCAGGCAGGCAGGCATGGTAGGTAAGGCAGTAGGCAGGCAGGCAGACATGGTAGATCTAAGATAGGTAGATAAATAGATAGAGACAGATATGGTAGGTAGGTAGACAGACATGGTAGGTAGGTAGGTAGATATGATAGGTAGGAAGGTAGGTTTGTAGGTAGATAAGTAGATAGATAGATAGATAGATAGATAGATAGATAGATAGATAGATAGATAGATAGATAGATAGATAGATACCGGTATATAGACAGAGAGACAGACAAGGTAGGTTGGTTGGTAGGCAGACAGACAGACAGATAAATAGACAGACAAATATGTTAGGTAGGTAAGGTAGATAGACAGGTAGACAGACACAGAGGTAGGTAGACAGGCAGACAGATGTGGTAGGTAGGTAGGCAGACAGACAAATAGACAGTACCAACACTTACATATTAGCATCTGCTTTCAGTGTATATCAGTGGAAGGAACCAAAATACCTCAATGCTAACACACAGAAGCCCAAATACCAATGATGTGTCAGTGTATACTGGCCAACCCTCCACATAGTTGCTTACATTTTATTCAGGCATACTCATATTCCTTAAAATCTATCCTCTTCCAAATTACAGGGAGTCCTTGATTCACAATCACAATTGAACCCAAGATTTCTGTTGCTAAGTGAAACATTTCAGTGAATTATGCTCCGCTTTACAACCTTCCTTGCCACAAATGTTGCACAGAAGCGAATCACTGCAGTTAAGTTAGTATCACGGTTGTTAAGTGAATCTGGCTTTCCCATTGGTTTTGCTTATCAGAAAGTCACAAAAAAAGGTGAACACATGACTCCAGAACACTCATAAATAAATGTGTCCAATTTTGATTATGTGTTAACCTAAGGAGTGATAGCAGATAGTAGAGATAAGATAGGACTAGAAAACTGCTAAAGCAAATGAAACGGAGTGGCTGGGCCTGTGTGTCAGAGGAATTCCTGCTGGAAATATTTGGCTTCAAGTCTTTGTTTATATGAATTCAGCTTCTAGCTGCGCATGGGGCTCATTAAAATAACTTTGCGGGAAAGTTTAAAGGTTAAGCATTTTGTCAGAGATTCCAGGGGAAATAATGTCAAACTGTGTGCCTCTCTCATTCTCAAATTTGTCCATAAAACAATCACGTTAGGCCATATTTATTTGTTCCTGCCACAAAGTTTAAAATCCTTTGTCATTCTCCCACATATTTCTCCATACAAGACTGCAGAAGTAGTAAGAATAAATTCTTTTTGTTTTCTTCGTCAGAAGGCATAAATCCAGAATTACTCTTTCACCTTAGAAAAACAGGAGGGGGTGGGGAGAGAGAGATTTTAAACCTTATGGCAGTGGTTCCCTATGGAAATATTTATAATACTTTAAATATTTTTATAATTTCTTTCCTAGCAAAAGATGTTACTCATATCTGCCCGTTTACCGGAGGTATTCGAGGAACCTTGACAGTTACAAATTATAGACTGTATTTTAAAAGCATGGAAAGGGTAAGGTTTAATAAATTGCTTTTTTAAAAAAAACTTTTTCTTGTTTTTGATAGATACTCAGCTCTTATTTGAAGGGAGGACACAGCTCAGTACATGCCACGATGGAATCTTTTGCCTTTCGAAGTGGAGTTGAAAAAAATCTCACATTCTTATTTGTTAAGCGATTACACCACATAGCCTTCAACATGAAATAATCAGAACTGAAAATTTTTTATTGTTCAACAAATACTTAGATGCAGCATTTCTTTTTATCTAACATTATAGTGAACTTTGCATGAACAAATCAAGCAATTTTATGCTTGTATTATCGACATTCTACATTTTAATTAATGTTGGTAGAATATTTCTTTCTCTTTATTTCCAGTACTCTTAACTCAACGTTTCTCAACCTTGGTGACTTAAAAGTCGATGAACTTCAAATCCCAGAATTCCCCAGCCAGCTATTCTGGTTGGAAAATTCTGGGAGTTGAAGTCCACCCATCTTCAAGGTTGAGAAATACTGCACTTAGTCATTGTTTCTTATTTTTTTTTTAAATCTCAGAATCTCTTTCTATTTTTAAAAATTACCAAAGAGATTCTCAATCATCTTGGTTATGGTTGCCCCAAAGGTGCTTTTTTCCAAAAGGCAACTGGACTTCATTTATTTATTTTTTTAAACGTGTCACTTCTCATCCAAGAAGCTTTTTCAGAACTGAAGAAGGAAAAAACCAAGAAAGTCCAGTTGCCTTTTGAAAAAAGCACCATTGGGACAATCTTTGCCCCTACCTTTTCTCCTGGTTTTTTGGTGAGATTTTAATATTGGGTTATTTTTCAATGTTAGGTTGGCAAATAATTTTGATTTTGAGGACTGCAGAGAGAGCCTTGGGGATTGCTCGGGATCCTAGGACCATACTTTAAGAAACGCTGCCCTAAGTTAACTAAATAATAGAATATCAATTGTTTTTAATTGATATTGTATAAATATTATTCTATTGAAACAATATGAGGTATCAGCATTTACAACTATATAGTGAAAAGTGGGGAGAGAAAAACTCACCTGTGAAAACATTGGAGAGACATTGCCAGCAGCGTAGATAAATGTAGGCTAAATGAACCAGGGCTTGTACTGGATATTCATCAACTTCAAATATTCATTAGGAGTGTAAAGCATTTTAGATTCAGTCTCCAAAGAGCAAGTTTGTTATTTCTTGCACAGTGATGGCAAAATTTATGACTGCCATAAGAAGAAGCAAAACAAAGCTGTAATATTCATGTTTCTATACCATGCATGGAACAAAAAGCCACTTTGAAAATTACATTTTCTCATAGCTTGTATTTTTATAGACAATTATCATGTGTTGAAATGGACACAGCATTGGCGAAACTTTTTAGCACCGAGTGCTGAAATGGGAGCACGTGTGCACGGGGGAGCATCGAAAACTGGAAGAGCATTTCTTTGCACCTGCGGGAGTGCCAGAAATTGGAAGAGCTGAGCTTCTGATTTGCAGTGTGCGCATGCATGCCGGAACGTGCTCTTCTACTTTCTGGCTCCCTCACGCATGTGAAGACTACCTGACTGGCACACATGCGCGCACCGGAACCCAGAAGAGCAACGGGAGACGGCTGACGTGCCCGGAGAGATGACTCTGCATGCCACTTTCAGCATGCGTGCCATAGGTTCACCATCACAGGACTATAACAAGGGAAATATATTTTGTGCTGAATAGCCATTTAGTATTGGATTAAGCATGGGGAGATCCAAGTTTATCCACTCTTAGTTGCGGAAATTTCATGAGTGATTTTGGCCAGTTTTTCTCTCTCAGACCACCATATTTCACAGGGAAACTTGTTTTGGTGGTAAAATGAAAGATTCAATATAATACACTTTGACTCCTCTGAGGAATGGTGAAATATAAAGGTAATAAGGATCTATATAGTGTCTAATGCATTAATCTTAAAGGTATCCTCAGCTTTCTGAATGTGTTTGTAAGCTTATTGCATGGCTAAGTATCAAAAAATCAAATCCTTATCTCTGTTAGCTCTGTCTAACAATAATTCTTTGGTTTGGATGCTCTATTAATAAATTTCCATTTTCGGCAGAACCCTCCATTTGTTCTAGATGGCCCTCTTGGAGTGATTAACAGAGTGGAGAAAATCGGAGGAGCTTCTAGTCGTGGTGAAAATTCATACGGCCTAGAAATTGTGTGCAAGGTAAACTGGTTTATTAAGAATGGGAAGATACTGAGTTCATGATCCATAGAATGTAATGGCTATGGCTTATAACGGTCTTAATAGACTTCAGTAAAGCATGCTGACAGAAAATTCATATAATCATAAAATGTAAGTGTTGTAAATGACTCCAAAGATCATTTAATCCATTCCCCTGTTCAATTGAAGAATGGACTATTCTGGTTTTACGTTTTAAAGTATAATAATTTTAGATGAGGTTCATTGAAGTTAAACCTTTTTTGAGTCTGGAGGCCATTGTCGCCTACATTCATGATCGAATGAAAAGTTAAATTTCAATGAGAGGTTAGTGGGGAATAAAAGTCATATCTTCTTTCCCATCCAAGTTTGTGACTTCTTTGAAAACTGTTCATGGACACCAGATGAAGAATCCCAGTTCAAAGTGATAGTCTTGTGGTTTTGCCTCTTACAAAGTAATTTTCCTCCTCTCCATGGCATAGCACAGAGGAATTTGGCACAGTGGTGGGATTCAATTTTTTTTACTACCAGTTCTGTGGGCATGGCTTGGTGGGTGGTGTGCAAGGGAAGGATACTATAAAATTGTTGTGGTTCACTGGTAGCCGTTGCAGACGGCAGAGGTATCAGACAGTGAGGACAAAAGGGAACCAGTCAGGGGGGCTGGATAGGACTCGGACGAGGGTCCTGCATCTGATGCAGAGATGGGGCAGGACTATCTGAGAATGGGGTGCTGCCTTCAGAGCCTTTGGAGTCTGGCAGCAGTGAAGCAGAGGACCCAGGGGAGCCTGTTCCCAGTGCGCGTGTGCGCAGAGCTGCTAGAAGGTGAGAGCAGCTGAAGCAGAAGGGGCGACTCGGGATAAGGCTAGAAGATGATTGCCCCTCCCATAAGGGATAAAAGTCAGTCCTCAATGACAAAGAGCTTTGCAGGAAGCAAAGCAGTTCAGTAATCTCCGAGTCGTTCGTGAAGCTCTGTACTCTGATCGGTTTTTTTCTGGGTTTTTGGTTTGGTTTATGTTAGCCTTAATTGGACTTCTGTTTCTTGGCAGCATTCTACAGCACTGAAAAGCATGCTCTTATCTGGAGGAACTGTGTCTAATTAGTTTTGGCTGGGAATGCAAGTAATTCCCAGTGTTGCATTAAAAAAGGTTTTACTTTTAAATTCAGTTTGTGTTTTATTAAGTTTGATGAAGCCTGGGTCAGAACAAAAATCTCCAGTCAGAGGTGGTATTTGCTGGTTCTCCGAACTACTCAAAATTTCCACTACCGGTTCTCCAGAACTGGTCAGAACCTGCTGAATACCACTTCTGATTTGGCAGCAATTGGTAAAGTCATTTCTCGGCAAATTGATCATTATGGTATGCTAATGGGCTTCTTGGTAAGGCCTCATTTTTTCCCCTTACATTCTGTAGGATGTACGGAATCTTCGGTTCGCTCATAGACCTGAAGGTCGTACGAGAAGAGCCATATTTGAGAACTTGACAAAGTATGCATTTCCAATGTCCAATCACTTGGTGAGTATTTTTTTGCTAATCTAACAACCATCTTCTTTTCCAAAGTATCCAGGTAGTCCTCAACTTGCAACCACAATTGAGCCCAAATTCCCATTGCTAAGCAATACAATTGTTAAATGAGGGCTCCTTGGTGCTCTCTGAACTTGCTTGTTTTCTTGCAGACGTTTCATTACCCTAGCTAGGTAACATCATCAGTGCAATTTTTAAGTGAGTTTTCCTCATTTTACCTTTCTTTCCACAGTTGTTAAGTGAATCACTGGAGCTTTAAGTCAGTAACACAGTTGTTATGTGAATCTGGCTTCCCCATTGTTAGGAGTTGGTGATCACATGATCCCAGGACTCTACAACTGTCATAAATTCATGCCAGTAGCCAAGTATCCAAATTTTAATCACGTGGTGGTGATATTACAACAGTCGTGTGAAAAAGTCATATGTCACTGTTTTCAGCGCCATTGTAACTTTGAACTGTCACTAAAGGAATTATTGTAAATTGAGGGCTACCTATACACTGTGGCTGTAGGATGAAAATGCAAGAAAGTGAAGGGATGTTGATCTGAGTGGGGGTTATTAGCTTCTTGAACTCAAGCTAGTCTAAAAGCAAGGCTGTAATGCTTCCATGTTGCAAAAGAAGGCAACACAGAGTTGAATCAGAATGTTCAAATATTTTTATTTTCCCATAAATGCTAAGATTAGTCACTTTTCCCATAATTGATGGGGGGATATGTGTGTCAAACATTCCTTTATTTTAAAAACAGCCTGAAAGGGTAAGGAAACCTTTGGATTGTGTTCAACTACTTTTGACCTGAGGGAAATATCCATGAGGTCTTCTCGGGCAATAATACTGAAGTTTTGCCACTGTGTTCCTCCAGGATGTTTTTTCAACTTCCCCTTGTAGTCCACAGCTCTAAGTTTTCCTACTGAACTCCCATTAAAATACAGATTTGATCTTGAACTGCTTGGCTTTAAGATCAATCAAGGTTGGATATGCGCTACAACCATAAGAACAATGTCTCAAACATGTTTTTTCAAAAGGCAACTGGACTGTTTTTTTCTTCCATTTTGAGGAAGAAGAAGATATTTTGCTTCTCACGTAAGAAACTTCATCAGTGATATAGCTTCAGTGCACCCCTTGAAAGTGCAAATCCAACAGGAGTTCACGGGAGTTCAAAATGTCTCCACATATAGTAATAGCACTTAGACTTATATACCACTTTACAGTGCTTTACGGCCCTCTCTAAGCAGTCTTACAGAGTCAACAATCTGGGTCCTCATTTTACCCACCTTGGAAGGATGGAAGGCTGAGTCAACCTTGAGCCTGGTGAGATTCAAACTGCCAAATTGCAGGCAGCCACCAGGCAGCAGAAGTAGCCTGCAGTACTGCACTTTAACCACTCCACCACCACAGCTCATATATGATTTTAAGGATATTTCTCTATACTGAAAACTATTTTTAAAGAGTGAAATTGATATGCCTGTACCCAGACATATAAAAGTGATCCCAGCCAGAAACAGAGTGCATTTCGTCTCTGTTGCCCAGGCACAGCCATTTGATACTATAACACACATGCATGAATTTATGTATGACATTTGTTATTATTTCTCTGCTCTCATTGCTTCTGCGTATTGCCAGCAGCACCCTTATTTCAGCTGACCCAATTACTGTTGGGTGGGAGGACCAGGGAAGCCCCTATTAAGCCCCTATGGGGGCTACTCTAGGCCAGGGGTGTCAAATTCAAGGCCCGGGGGCTGGATCCAGCCCATGGGATGCTTAGATCTGGCCTGCAAGGCCGCCCTGGAAGCAGCAAAGGGCTGACCTGCAATGCCTCTGCCTGTGAAAATGGATCTCGGGAGGGCCGTGTACAGCCCTCCTGAGCTCCCTTTTCGCCGGCAGAGGGTTGCAGGAGGCCATCGCAGCCGGAATGGAGCTCGGGAGCCTGTTTTCACTGGCAAAGTGCTCAGGCAACCACAGGTGCCCCCAATACTAATGACGTTGAGTTGGCCATACCTACCCTGGCCATGCCCCCCCCTCAAAGTCAAGCACAACCCTGATGTGGCCCTCAGTGAAATCAAATTTGACACCCCGCTCTAGGCAATTGTCATATAAAGTTCAGAGTTGTTCTCAAGATGGCTCCCTGTGTAATAAATCCATGTCCCTCCTGGTTGATCAAGATCTCTAGGAAGGTGACATGTGGTTGGTTCCATTCAGTGGTCAGTGCCTCATTAAGAAAAGTCTGTTCTATCAGCTCTGAAGGAGATGGTGCTCTGGTCCCTCCTCATGAAGCCATCACTGGATGTAGTGGTATAGGACAATTTTCACCCAGTCTCCAAACTTCTCTTATTCCTTGTGCCAAGGGTCTTCAAATTTGGCAAGGTTAAGACTTGTGGACTTCAACTCCCAGAATTCCTGAGCTAACATGACTGGAGGAGGAATTCTGGGAGTTGAAGTCTTAAAGCTGTCAAGTTTGAAGACCCCCTGGCTTATGCTATTTGATGTAGGCTCATGATGGTCACCCATCAATCCAGGGTTAAGTACCTTCAGTATGTTGATGATTCTTTACTGCAATCTGTCTTGGTGTTTTGGAAGGGATCCAGGCAGAGGAGAACCCAGGCAAGATTGAGGGTCTTGTGGGATCAGGATCAGATCACGAGATTTTCAAGGCAAATAATATCAGGGAAGCACCTTCAATTCATCCATAATTGGTTCAGGATTTTGGTTTTGTTTGCTTGTTGTTGTTTTTTAAATTTCCCTGCGAACTCTCAGGAAATCTAAGAAGCATCCAGCAACTTCCCTAAGAAAATTTAAAGAGATCAAAAGAGCTTGGGATAATTTATCTGCATCTTTCTAGTCTCAACTTTTCCTTCGAAGGGAGAAGGGTTCACCAACAGGAACCCCTGATTTCTAGCTCAAGCCTTCATATTCAGGATGTAAACACCAAAACGTTTATCCCAGTAGGTCCAGAAAAAGGAGTTTCTGGTATGTCACATAATATTTTGTTAGGGGAATTGGGAACTCTGTTTCTTTAAGTAAAACTTCAACAGAGGTGGTATTCAGCCAGTTCTGACCAATTCTAGAGAACTGGTAGGGGAAATTTTGAGTAGTTCAGAGAATCGGCAAATACCACCTCTGACTGGCCCCGCCCCCATCTATTCTCTGCCTCCCATTGAGTCCCACTTGATCGGCTGGGTCTTCTTTTGTTGCCCTGCACAGGAGAACGGAGCTGGAAAGCAGGTTAGTGGGGTGGGCTGGGAAATGGGGATTTTACAGTATCCTTCCCCTGCCACGCCCACCAAGCCACACCATACCCACCAAGCCATGCCCACAGAACTTGTAGTAAAAAAAAAAATTGAATGCCACCATTGAACTGCAAGCATGTTGGGACCTGTGCTACTCTTCGATTTGTGAACTTTTTTTCTAATCAAGAAGATCCTTTGCAGACTCCTTCTCTTGATGAAGCAAACGAGAAAGTGGGCAGTGAAGATTTATGTGCCATGGCATGCATCAAAGTTTAGGAGGGTTTGAGCCTTATTCATCATTGCGCATTAATCTAAATGGGGATCGTTGATTGTTCCCTAGTTATAGATCCCCACAATTAGCATTAAGATCCATGTCATTCTAAACAAACAAAACAGCATCTGAGACCATCGCTTACATAGATGGCAATCCTGTGCAAAACTAAGGAACTGAAATGCAGTTCTATGATGCTGCCTTGAAAAATGGTTCCTATGAACTTTCTTCTTAAGAACTATTTATTTCTTCCCTATCATTTTCTTGGCACTTTCATAGATCAGAAAATAAAGGAATGTGCAGAAACGTATATTGATTTACTTAACTTACACATTCTGTAAAGGCTCTCTGCCTTTCTTTTATGCTTTTATTAAGGTACACAAACGAAAAAGGTTGCATGGGAATAGTTATTTGAAATGGAAAATGCATTGCTAAAGAATCTCTCCATTTTTTTTAAGCCTCTGTTCGCTTTTGAGTATAAAGAAGTTTTCCCAGAAAATGGCTGGAATGTTTACGATCCCATTCTGGAGTACAGGAGACAGGTGAGTCTCACTATCCCAGGTCTGACTTTCACGTCTTGCTCTCTAGCAAACTAGCTTATTGCAAATTTGCTGGCTGGAAGACCTTCTAATGCAGTGCTTGGGAATTCTGGGAGTTGAAGTTCACACATCTTAAAGCGGCTAAGGTTGAGAAACGTTCTAGTGGGATAATCAAATGAAAACAATTCCCACGTAAGTGTGTCTGGGCTAGATTAATCTAAATCACAGCCTATCACGTGGTTATCCAGGAAATGCTGCAGTAATGATGGTGCATCTGCAGAATGACCAGTACTGCAGAGGACATGAAACATTTTTTGTGGATCAAAAAAATAAATACGAGGCCACCTTGTATATTTACAAAGCAATCTGCTGCCTTTATAGCAGAAGGTGATTTCCTCCCTCCGTCTCGGTGGCTAATTAAAAATCTAGAAGTAAAACTGGTAGAAAGAGAAATCTCTGTGAAGTAGATAGTGAAATGGATTTGATTTGTCCAAGTTTTTGCAAATATCCAATTTCTAGATATTGGTATCCGGAGTGAGGGTCTCCTCTCCTCTCTCCCTTCCCCTCTCCTTTCTGCCTTTCTCCTCTCTCCCCTCCCTTCTCCTCTCTCCTC